AAGATTATATAATTGTAGTTACTCTCTACATTATTTAGACTCCTTGAGATAGAATGTTTAGCAAAACTTTTGATTCTCAATATTGTTTGTTATATTATTTATTTGTTATTATTGTATATAGTTGTATTTGGTTTAGTTCTGTCTTATTTAGACAAAAGGGGGAGATGTAGGGATAAGTCCCACCCCTTAGGGGGCGTGTTCGCCTCAGGCTAAAGTTTGCCTATAAATTTGGCGAGCGAGCGTGCTCCCAGCCCTCGCTTCTGCTTTCCTGGTCTCCGCAGGAACGGTGGTTCTGTAAGTCTATTCCTCCATTAAAGCTGTCTATATTTTGATAATCTGTCTACATTCGCTTACGCCGTTACACTTCCTTGCTACTAGTCTTGCTTGTATCCACTTCTGATGGTATACTGGCCACATTCAGTACCCTCATTAGGCCCAACTTTATGTACTACCAGCACAGCAACTAAAAAGAGCACCTTCCTTCCTTCCTTCCTTCCTTCCTTCCTTCCTTCCTTCCTTCCTTCCTTCCTTCCTTCCATGCATTTACTTGTTTTTTTTTTTTTGACAGTCTTCTGGGTAGCCCAGGTTAGCCCAGAACTTGCAGTCCTCCAGTCTGCCTCCCAAGTCTTGTGATTGTGGTGACACACATCATTGTCCGTTTGTTGGTCCTGTGGCACGAGTGACTCAACCAGCTTGTTGTCACAGGCGCTGAGAGTGAGGTGCCAGGATTGCTCTGTGCTGGGCCACTGGCCTATTTTCAGTGTTAAGAAGCTGGAGTACGGGGGCTGGAAAGATGGCTCAGAGGTTAAGAGCACTGGCTGCTCTTCCAGAGGACCTGAGTTCAATTCCCAGCAACCACATGGTGGTTCACAACCATCTGTAATGAGATCTGGCGCCCTCTTCTGGTGAGCGGGCATACATGGAGGCAGAATGTTGTATACATAATAAATAAATCTTAAAAAGAAAAAAAAAGGGAAGGTGTCTGGGGGAAGAATAATTTCCCAGAGTGACAATTACTCCCTAGATGAGAAGATGAATGTCTGCGATGGAGCTCAGCAGCCCCTCAAAGTCAGTTTTACCTTCTGGTTGGACTGTTTTTGCCAAAGGTTACATAGTTACCATTTTTAGAATCTCTTCTAGAGCCAGATGTGGATCACTCTTAGAATTCCAGCACTTGTCAAGCTGAGGCAGGAGGATTGTCCTGAGTTCAAAGGGACCATGGGATACATAAAGAGTACCAACCCAGCCTTGGTTGCATAGCAAGACTATCTCAGAAAAACAAAAAAACTTTAACATGTGCAACTCATTGTATTTAATATGTATTTATTTAAAAGACAATTTGATCTTTTTTTTTTTTCCTTAGACAGGGTCTCTCTGTAGCTTTGGAGCCTGTCCTAGAACTCTCTGTAGACCAGGTTGGTCTAGACGTCACAGAGATCCACCTGCCTCTGCCTCTGGAGTGCTAGGATTAAAGGCGTGTGCAACCACCACCTGGCTTTTTTTTTTTTTTTTTTTGAGTCAGGGTCTCACTATGTAGCCTTGGCTGACCTGGAACTTGCTATGTAGATCCCTAGAGCTGGCATTCCTGGTTGTTATGAGCTGCCTGCAGTGGGCTCTGGAAGAGCACCACACTCTTAGCTGCTGAGCCATGTTTCCAGACTTGAAATACGGTTTTTAAGTGTTAACGACCAACCAATTCCTATTCTTTTTAAGATAGGGTCTTACTATGTGGTCCTGGCTGGCCTAGAACTCGCTCTGTAGGCCAGGATGGGACGGACATGTGGCTGTTCTTAGTGCTCACAGAAATCCCTGCTGGCCTCTGCCTCCTGGATGTTAGGAGTGACAGTGTGGACAGTGTGAGCCACCAGCTCGACTTCCTCATACTTTCTTTTCTTTTCCCTCCCTCCCTCCCTCCCTCCCTCCCTCCTTCCCTCCTTCCCTCCTTCCCTCCCTTATGTATACAGTGTTCTGTCTGTATGCTTGCTGGCCAGAAGAGGGCACCAGATCTCATTACAGATGGTTGTGAGCCACCATGTGGTTGCTGGGAATTGAACTCAGGACCTCTGGAAGAGCAGTCAGTGCTCTTAACCTCTGAGCCATCTCTCCAGCCCCCCTCATACTTTCTTACCTTAAAGGTTGAGGGGCTATTTATTACCTTAAGAGAAACTTAAACATCTCAGATTTGGTTCCACAGAGAGGCTTCTCTGGCCCATCCAAATGTCAGTAGTGATTGCCCCCTTCTCTCTCTGCCTCCTCCTCCTCCTTGCTTGACTGGCAGTTTCCTGGGGCCTCTCACCCTCCAGTCTTATTTTTGCCTTTTATGTTATCTTTTTTCCTATTCTGCTCCTTAAAAGCTTAAATGTCCCCACAGGGAGGCTCTGTAAGGGTTGGGCCCCTCACAGTTGGCTAAGAACACACCAGGAATCCACATTCTTCTTACTATAAAGGAGATTTATTACCATAGAGGGACAAGCAAGTTAGGGAGCAAGGGGAGACTGCCTCTGGATTGGGCAAAAGCAAACAGCAAGCAACAGATTTTTTTTTTTTAAAGAGGAAAAAAAAATCTTTTAGGGTGAGTTAGTGAGTCCTAGTTGGACAGGTTAACTATTGTAGCCAAATAATGAATTTTGATTGCTGAATCTTGGAGTTTAGTCTCAGGATGAGTCAGTGGCCAAACTAGGGAACAGACCTTGGGTGTTAGCTTTAGGAATGTAATCTAATGGTTTAGCAAGCAAGAGAGAAGGGTAAAAGGCTAAACCTGTCAGCAGCATGTTTGTCATGCGGGGTCTGTTAGAGAGGCTCAGCCTCCTGTAATATGCCTGCATTGTATTCTCCCCTCACCTTTTTACACTTGTTTACATGTGGCCTTAACTGCCCATGCGCACCCAGAACCCCAGTAGAAACCTTGCTTTTACCCAGGGTATTTTTTTGTGGATATTTATTTATTTAATTTCAAGACAGGTTTCTCTGTGTAGCCCTAGCTGTCCTGGAACTTGCTTTGTAGATTGCCCGCCTCTGCCTCACAAGTTTGCCCAGGTTTTAAGACTCACTATATCCTTGTATTGTTCACAGAGAGTCTTATATAACCCAGGCTGGTCTGAGCTTCCTGTGTAGCAGAGGCTGACCTTGAACTTCTGAGCCTCTGGCCTCCACTTCCTATCCTGGAATTGTGAAAGGGCACAATGAACCTGAAGATGTTTCACCTGATTCAGTGTCTCCCAAAGCTGATAATGAGCAGCTAAGAAACTATGCTGTACATGTCTTTGTGTATTTCTCAGTGTCTAGTAGAGTAGTTTTTATGATTTTTTAAAAATGCTAGTGGGTCCCCCACAGAGCAGCCATGAGGCAGGCGGGTCGGAGCAGCTAGCGGCGGGAAATGCTAGTGGGTCCCAGTGCTGAACCCCAGAGCGGCTCGCGGCGGAGTGTGTGTGTGGGGGAAACGGACAGGAGACAGAGACAAGGACAGACATAACATGTTGAATATTTATTCAGGGGGTTATGGAGGGGAAAGGGAGAAGTGGGGGGCAGAGAGAGGAGAAAGAGACAGAAGAAGGGAGAAAACGGAGAGACACGTGAGCTCCAAAAGGGAAGAGAGAGAGAGAGTGTTATTCTTAAAAAACGATTAGAGAGCTGCCACAAACTGTCCCCAGGCGGGCTGGCGGAGGGAGCCCGCCATGAGGGCGGCTACAGGAGGGCACGCTTCCTTGGCCCACGGTGGCGGCAGGTAACAGACACGTAAACACAGGAAATAGCCATAAGTATTTATTAAGGAAGGGGGAGAAAGAAAGACAGAGA